TCATGATGCTGACCAAAAGGTTTTTTTGGTGCGACGGAACCTGCTCATGATGCTGAACATCTGCTCATGATGCTGACCAAAACGTTTTTGGTGTGTGTTGCACTGGGAGCCCGGAAAATCGTATGAGTGAAAACCATGAAAAATAGCTGATGCGCTGCTAACCGACCCCGACGACAAACTGACACTGACCGCCGGTGGAGCTGCTCGCCATGCCATATGGCCTGGGCACAAATGCCAATGAGAGCAATCTAATCTGAATCTGCAAAGCCAGCCTTACATTGCAGAAGCGAGGCCACCAGCGCATCGTCTCTGGCACGACCTGCAAACAGACAGGCAGGCACCAAAATATGGATGATATTATGGTTGTGATAATAGACATGGCTGGGTCTGAGCTGCTGTCTTATTTCTGCTCGGCAGGCGAGCTGACGGCTAGTGGTCGGTGGTCTCAGCAGCTAGGCTGTCCGGTGGGAAAAAACCGTGTCCTTTAAAGGCTCGTGGATTAAAAACCCACCAGAATCAGAATGATGATGTGTCGACACAGTCTGTTGAGCTCAGGCCCTCGGCTCCGCTGGCGATAGAATTAGAATGACAGACACCTGACAAATTGCATGTGTCGACCACAGCTGACAACTGACTAGGAGAATGGTGGCGCTGACACAGACACAACGTCTGTCAAAATCGCCGTAAGACTACGATTGGCGTTTTGCAATGGCCGGCCATCGCTGCAACAGCAGACAACAGACAGAGATATTATTATGACAACTAACACCTAGTTAGAATCACAACTGCTTTACCGGTTGTGCATACACATCGTTCCTTAACGCAGTGTGGCCAAAGATCCCGCTAGGTGGCTTTAAAATCAGGCCTTGCAGCCTGCCACTTTCTCGTGATTGACTGAATCCGGCCATGCGACAGCTGCGACTGACAGTTGTTGTTGACGGCTGCAAAAATACGGATAAGTTCAAACCAACGATTGACGACAATATTTGATCAACTTGAGCTTGAACCCGCGGTGCCGCATGCTTCAGATGACACAGACACAGACACAGTCATCACGCAATCTCAGCGGTGCCGTCTTTGAGGATCAGCTGCTTCGCCAGGGCGATAGCGACGCCGTAAGGCGTCAGCTCGCCGCCCTCCGACCCTGGTTTCTTGAAGACCCAGCGCAGCGCGAGGCGGTCGTTCCCCGTTGCCATGGCCAACACCTGACAGACAAACAGTAAATAAGTTGTCGTGGCTGTTGTTGTGGTTGATGATGCTGCTCTTGTGACTGATGTCATGGTTGTTGTTGTTGTTGATGTTATTGTTGTTGCGGTGGTGGTGGTGGTGGTGGTGGTGGTGGTGGTGGTGGTGGTGGTGGTGGTGGTGGTGGTGGTGGTGGTGGTGGTGGTGGTGGTGGTGGTGGTGGTGGTGGTGGTGGTGGTGGTGGTGGTGGGAGTTGTTGTGGTTATTGTCGCTGTTATCGTTGATTGCTTGTGATTGTTTGGTCGACTGTTTAATAACAAGCATGTTTTTTGTTGTCTTTCTGTTTGTTTGTTTGTTTGTGTTTGTGTGTGTGTGTGTCACGCCTCCTGCACTGTGCTCCGCCACTGTCTTCGCCTTCGTCTTCTCCATCAAGGCACTGACAGCGATAGCCGCTGGCGACGACGAGCTGACGCTGATGTCGTCCTTGTTGAAAACCAACGTCTGGCGGGCGACCTTGTAAGGGACCGCATGCGCCAACACTGGGTCCGTCATCTTCATGATCTTTCCTTCTCTGACGACGGAGAGCATGCAATGCGGCGGGAGCTTCTTGTTAGTCTTGACGTCGCAGATGATGCTGACCTTGATCTTGCCGTCCGACCGCAGGAAGCTGACCTGGTAGCTGTTGTCGTTCACGCGAATCGTGTTCTGGAGGACGACTGACCCTGGTGGCACTGCTGGCGTCGGAAACGGCACCGGGGTCGGCTTAGCTGGCACCTCGGCCTCCGGCTTCGGGGCCTCCGGCTTCGGGGCCTCCGGTGCCGACGCTGGCACTGGAGGGGCCGGCTGTGGCTTGCCAGTGTCGACGGCAGGGGCTTCAGGATCCTGCAAAAGCAGGTTTGCACAATTTAAATTTACAGTCTTTCGGCGTCAATATTGTAATAAGGCTTGGCACAGGCATGCTGCGTAAGTCAATGCAATATACTACCAGTCCTGCGCTGTCACAGTCGCCGCGCCTGGGGACGCCGTAGGACTCTCCTGGAAATAGTTTTCCAGAGTCCCTCTGAACTTCTTCACCGGGGTCGACTCGTGGATCGACGACTGGTTGGCTGACGACGACGCTGGCGGCAAGGCGCCGAAACTGATGCAAAGGGGCGACCCAGACGCAATGCCAGCCCCATTGCGCGTCCGCACCTTCACCGACAACAGGCCGTCCGTAAATCCGTTGTCCTAGGTGAAGGACACAGGTCACGTCTGCAAGCAGTAGAAATTTGAAACATGGTATATTCAAAACATGACTAAAGCATCTGCAGCCCCGATTCCGGGCAGACATCCAGACGGCAGTTCGGCGACTTGCCTAGGCGGCAAGCAGCACAGTTATATTAAATAATAGGAAGCAGCAGGGGGAAAAACTTCAGTGAAAAGTGGAGACTTGTCACATGGTCGCACTCCAGCCGTAACCCGGTACCGGGAGAGTTATGGCACGAAACTGTTTCAAACCAGAGCCGAGTCACGCTGGGCGTCGCTGAAGGGCGTGAGGTACTGCGCCCAGCCGACCAGGACTGCGTACAAGGTGATCTTCAAGTCGACGCCGTGATCGAAGTTTTCCAGTCTGACCACTCGGTCGCCTTATGTACTGCCAGCTCAAGTCAACAATAATTAAAAAATCGTCGTAGCATTCAGCCGTCTGTCCTGCAGACAGATGGACTACTATTATGCTCTGATTCCAAATTCCTTGCACCCTGCCATCTAGCAGAAAAGTCCCTATTGTTGCTTCCAAAGTCTCGCAGTGCCCCATGCCCGTCTCGAGCGAGGAAAGCCTGCAACTTGTCCAGGTTGGTGAAGAAGAGGGCTGACGCTGGGCCAATGGTGTCTCCATCTCAGAACCTTCATGTCGAGCACTCTACCAGAATCATGTGACAAAATAATATCAGAGTATCGAACAAATACTCGTAACATTGACTAAATGACTGGTTGATTCATTGACTTACGGTTTGACTGACGGCCTGATTGATTGGTTGATATTGGCCCATCGATAAGTAAGTAAGCTCTGCACTTCTTCGCGACTGAAGGGCTCCTGGGGCAAGCTTCAACGAAACAACGTCCAGGAGAAGACATTCAGGCGAGGCCGAGAACGAGAACCTGTTGGGATCCCAAATTCGGCCTTATTTCCACGACCGTATTTTTGCAAAATCTCGCGCCCTTCTGAACCCAAACTGCCTCTACACGCTTCGGCGGCAGTGGCACACAAGCTGGATGTCGCAGCACCGTCTGAGCTGAGCTGTCAGCCAAACGGTTGCAGGAAGGTTAATGTGCTTCAGTCACGTAGTCGTCCCTTCACTCTTGCGCCTTTGCTTCCTCGCTTCAAACAATCACTGTCGAAATCGCGACAAGGCTTTCTGGATTTAGCTCCGGCTGTCCCCGAAAAAGTCGAGGCGTGTCAATTGCAGCATCTAACTTGGTTTCGACCCGTGCCCCCCAGAGGGGTGGGTTCCACCAACAGCAAACAAACAGGATCAGCGGTCACGAGCACTACACTTGAAAAACGGCTGCTTCTAACTGTAACGACTCCGCCATCACCTGGACACTCTCTCTCCCTCTCGCTCACACTTGCGCTCACCCTCACTCTCACCCTTACTCTACCCGCACTCGCACTTGCACTCTTCACTCTCTTCTCGCTCTCACTGTCACTGTCACTTTCAGTGATTCTCTCTCTCTCTCTTTCCCGTCTCTTCTTCCCTCTCTTGCTCTCTCTCTCTCTCTCTCTCTCTCTCTCTCTCTCTCTCTTCTCTCTCTCTCTGTTCCCTCCTTTCTTCCTCCTTCCCTCCTTCCCTCCCTCTTCCTTTCGCGCTTCCGCAGAAGATACTCATTTGGCGTAGCCACCAGAGCAGCAGCCACAATGCAAAGTTTTGAAAAACAAATGGTGTATTAAGTGTTTAACACGTTCAAGTTGTTCCAGAAAATATTGCATGTGCGTGGATTATGGAAACGCAAAATACAAAGACACGGACGGACTTAACGTGTTGAACACTTAATACCATTTTCCATTTTTTTTTACTCTGCACTGTGGCTGGTGGCTGCATAAACTCTTTTTTTTCTGACACTTACCTTTTTTTGCATGGAAAGCACCGGTGAAATACAACATGGCAAACAGCTGGTAGCTGCGCAAGCAACTGCAGACTGCTTCCAGCTAGATTGCAGAGTCTGATTATTTTGCGCTTTTCTTGTGCAACTTGGCAATTGGTGGACAGCTTGGCTTTTAGGCCGCGCGGACGCTTGCTTTCTCTCTTACTTCCTGGCTTTCTTCCGATTTTTCTTATTCCTTATTTGCACACCGGAATCCAATATGTTTTCTATGGAATATATATCCATATAAATGTGCGAAGGTCCCTTGCTCGCGCAACTCTATTTTCCACGTGGGATGCTACACTCCGTGCCGTCTTCCTTCAGACGGCTAAGGGGTAGGCTCAAACAATCTGGGTCGGGAGGGCGGGACAAGTTTTCCCCCGTGCCCATACTTGAGAGGAAAGTCGCCGGAGCCACACTTCATCTCACTGCCCGGAAAACTTGCAAACGTGATTCCTAATTTCAGTTTAAAACAAACATGAAATTTGTGCAAAACTGAATAAGGAGTTCATCCTTTCTGCTTCGGGAAGTTTAAAGGAGTAAACTCTTATTCCAAAATTTGCACACCGGAATCCAAAATGTTTTCTATGGAATATATATCCATATAAATGTGTGAAGGTCCCTTGCTCGCGCAACTCTATTTTTCCACGTGGGATGCTACACTCCGTGCCGTCTTCCTTCACCCCGATCATCTACGGCATGACCTGGTCCCACGGAATAGCACGCCTTGCAGCACCTCTTTTTAAAAGAGGCTCAAATTCCAGCCGTGAGGGATTGTCTGCTATGTTGCAAGCAGTCGGTACGCGAGCGAACCACGTCTTCAGCTGCAACGTGGTTTCAAGCTGAAGGAAAGATTCAATCACAGAGTTGGCGATTGAGCTACCGCCAAAGGTTCGGATCAGAGAATGGCGAGCACCATCATTGTCAAGATAAAACACTACTTGAGCTCCTTTCAAGCGCTCGGCCCAAATGATAAGGCTGATCAGTGCTGGAATCAACTCAAGCTCGAAAATGGGATTTGCGCTGATGCTCAAAAGCTGCTGCATCACATCGCTTGGAACTGCCTCACCGAAGAACTCGCACGGAGTACCAGAGGCATTCACAAGGACGCCTCCGACACCTCCCGTGCCTTCCTCTGGATTGCAAGCCCCGTCAGTGAAAACGATCAGCGTTGTGATGAGGTTTCGCTCGACAACTAAAGGCTGGCTCAGGGCTATTCTTTCACGAAGCCACGTCAACGCCCACATCAAATCTTCAGTAAGATTCTGAGGGGCAGACTTTTCCACGCACTTTGCAACAACTCGCTGAGCCCGGTTAGAAACCCTTCCAAAGGTGAAACCCTCGAAGAAAACCATACGACCCCGAAGGCGTTCGGCAGCCGAAGGATGGTTTGGATGTACTCGGTGAGCTCCTCCTTTCGCTTCTGAGTATGACCCACACGAAGGATCCGCTGCTTCACACAAGACAGATCAACAGAGAGGCCGAGCATGTTGAAGGTAACTCCGAAGGGTTCGGCTTTGGAGCCGTCCTTGGCGAAGCGGAAACCAAGCAGGTCAAACAAAGTTTCCACAGTCCACTGGGCATTCGATTCCAGGCTCTTCGCAGAAACTATGCTGTAGTCATCGAAAAAGGCAGACCAGAATAGCCTGAAAAGGACTATTCCGATCTTCCACAAGGCGATACTTATCCTTAGGAAAGCAGCGACCGACCCCACCCCTCCGAAGGGGAGGGCGTTTACGCCCAGGAAGCTCGGCTTGTGGTGGCCTGGCCTGTTGACAGCAATGCGTAGCCTTTCACGGTCAGCAGCACACACACCAAATTGCTTGTACGCTGCCGTAAGGTCGAAAGTTCGGCCGCAGCACTCAGGCATAACACCGGACACGACATCAAAAGCATGAGCCATCATGGCCGCAAGCTTATCAATCGTATGCAAGCAAAACTTTTCCAGCAAGCCCACTGTCGCGTTTAGGCCGCAACAAGAAAGGTCATCGATGACCCTCAATTTGTTCTGCATGATTCCGAAGCGCATAGCAATCGAGACCATCTCAGGAACCGGCCCTTCCTCAAGCCACACCCAACCTGCGTCAATCTCCTTTTGGGTTTCAACCCAGGTGGATTCTTCAATTTCGGAATCCTGCCTCCTGGACAGCTTTTGCAAGGTTGCTTTGTTCAAGCCCTTCGACAAAACTCCCAACGTCTCGACACTGAATTTGGGCCGTCTGGACCTCGGCACAAACTCACCCGACGCAGGAAGCCAGCCCGACAACTTGAAACCTTGGCATATATCAGAAACAAGGTCGACATCCTCACACCCTGCGGCTCTCATCATCTCTTGGAGAAGCAAGAGCTTCTTTCCTTTAAGTATGGGCCGCAGGTGATCAGGGAGATTTTGGTGAAGTTCCTGCTCCTTTTCCTTGAGGGCGCCTGCACGACCAATCCAAAACTTCATTGCATCAATCCTGAAGGCCGCAAGTTCTGCCGGAGGAGCCTCAAAGTTAGCACGTGCACTAACTGTGACGAAAGGCTCAACATGGACTGCCAAGGACCGTGGGTGGCCTGCCGCAATAGCTCTCTCAACAAAGACATCTTCAGAGCACGGTACACCGACTTGCACAAGCTCTGCACAAGCAGGCGGACGCAAAGGGTCCAAGCCCAAGATGTTTGTTTTTGGCTTGCCAACTCCTTCGAGGAGACTCTTCAGCGAACCCCACTCACACACACGTCTCGAGAAGATTCTGGAGCCCTTTGGAAGGGAAAAAAGCACAGCTTCCAACGGCTTGTCATTTTGCACGGGCACAACAAAATCCAAGGTAGTGTCAAACTCCCACACAAGGGAAGGCAAGGAGTTTCCCCTGGGTTGAGTGCCCAGATTGATCCTGGCGACATTCGCAGAAGGATCCTGTATTGCCTGCGCAAGCACACGTGGCCCGAAGGACAAGCTGGGATGCGCGTGGACGATGCAACCAAGGATACGATCGACGAGGAGCGGGGGAAATTCGGGTTCATCTGCTGTGATGAAGCTCACCCGCTTCCTTTTCGAAATGAAAGGTCGCCACGGTTTGTGCTCGTGCGACCCGTCACAGCGACCCGCAAGCATGCCAAAAACGTCCTGTGACGACCAAAGCTGCATCAACTTGGGTCTGTGACCCCCATGCACACAGGCATGAAATTTCACAAAGTGACCCTGCACATGATTGGTCACCTTAGCACAGAAAGAGGTGTCCCAATAACGGCTGTTAGAAGGACTCTCCAAGACTGTCAGGATTCCAAGATCACAAGCCTCACATGCAATGCTTGCAAGCTGATCAAACAGTTGATTTGCACGCTCAACCTGGAGTTTATCACGACCACGCAAAGTCGGCAAGCCATCCGGATGCAACGCCGACCTCAAAGCATGTGGCATCTTCAAATCAAGTTCAGCAGAACCGGGCTTATGCCGTTCACGCATGAAAGATGCGGTGCCCACCGGAGGTGAGATGAAAACACAGATGACGTGATGATACTCAACTCGCAAGAAATCGACAACTGCTTCAGCCTGAGCTGGATCACTCAAATCCATGATGACAACTTGTTCACCAGCCCGCCTTCTAGAGGAATCAACTGCAAAAGGCCGGAAGCCTAACTTCGCAGCTGCCTTACTAAGAACAGCTGTCCCAGCACACAACTCAACGAAGTACATTCCCGCCGCCGACGGCTGGACACTGCTGGCATCACGCTGCGACGGCCTAACAGGGGAGAGGCACCTAGGGTCCCAGGAAACCACAAAAGGGCCTAAACCCAAAGGAGACACAGAAAACCCGAGCCGCTCAGCGACAGCTCGTAATTCAGGCCGGAGCTCCTCGCACTGACGCACCGAATAAGCAAGCATGACAACTCTGCGACCTTTCCACGGCCTAGTCTCATGAAAATCTTTAGGCTTCGAGAAAAAGGTGGGGCCGGCGGCCACATCAAGCAGGCATCCCTCCAAAGAAGGGTCATTCAACGAAGCGACATCACCTCCAACCTTCTGAAACCAAAGTTCACCGTTCTCAAAGTCCGTCAAAGGCACCAACAATGTAGGGCCATCACGATTGTTCTCGTCGCGGTGCAATCCTGAGGCAAGATTTTCATGGATTGCAAGTGAAGAGTAACTGAATGCAGGGCACACCCGACTCACAAGCAGGTTGAAAACCTTGATAGAAAACGGGAACATGTCCATAGTCCTATGCAAACCCAAAATCCCGCCACGCCGGTAGACGCCCATGCTGAATCGGGCTCCACCCGATCCCTGAAATGCCCTAGGAGGATTTTGCGCCTCCTGAGGCAAAAGCTCCAAAAGATCCAGAGCTGCACTGGCTGTCAAGCACGACGGTTGCCGCAAGAGAAACTTCGCAAGAGCTTCGGGATCAGTGAACTGCGGCCTATTTGGGCGAGGACTAGAACCAAATTTAGGGGTATCAGGTGACACTGCCATTGGCACTTCCAGCTGACCGCTGGGCTTGGGTGAAATTTGCGCCAGGCCTTCACAAGGAGATTTCCTCGGCTCGACCTGCGACTTCATCGAGGCAAGAGCCCTCGCCTTCAACGCTTGCAACTTCTCTTGAAGAAGTGTCTTATCATTCAAGATTGACCCTTCCGCCGGTCCCCGCACCTGCTCAAGAGCACGGTACACCAACGGCCTAGTCTGCTCTCCAGCGGCTGCTGCACCAAAAGTGCAGTCCTCACTGTGAGAAGAATCATGCAACACAACGGACGACAGTGACTCAGATAGTCACTCTTGCGCCTTGGCTTTGCACGACACTGCTGAATGCCCCGGCCTATGACACTTCGCACAGATGTGAAGGCCGCGGACACACTTAAGCCCTCCCTTGCACTTCTCAGTCTTAAGAGAGCAGCCTGAGGCCAGATTGAAATCCCAACAAACATTTCCATCTTCTGTCCTGCAAGAGTACTGCTTCAACTCTTCTGGCACAGTCCTACGTATGCGCGCCTTCCCCTTCGCCTTTGCTTTTGCCTTGGCCTTCCCCTTCGGGACGGGCTGGGAGGAACTCCCCGCCCCATCATCCACAGGCACTGCCAAGACAGGAGCTGTCTGCTTCGGAAGCGGCAACAGGAACTGCTGAAGACGGACATCATACATCATTGCTGAAAACTTTGCATCAAGCGGCGAGACCCCGAGCGAGTCCACCTTGAAAGGAGGCACAGCCTCCCTGGCCAATAGCAGAAAAAGCTCCTTATCCGCGCGCATGCATTGATTCAAACTGACTGGGCTATAACTCGGTGGCGGGGTTGCGGAAAGGCAATCCAGCATCTTCTGAATCCACCTCTGATGCACATCCCAGGATAGAAGGTGACAGTTGTCAAAAGCTATGCCTCTTCGCATCATGGCCCACTGAAAACGCAGGGGATCCGAAACATCACAAGCGATAGCCTGGTCACCAGGCCCCACCTTTATGACGTTTTGCTCCACTTGCAACAAAGAGCTCCTATCCTTGCCCAATGCAAGGACCTCAGCTTCCCTCTTGGCACATTTCGACGCAGGAATCCAAGTAAGAACTCCGGACTCGTATTGCTGATTTGCTATGTCAAGAAGCTGATGCGAAGGCTCAAGCTCTCCAGAAATCTCCATTCCTGAAAGTCGCCGCCTCTGGAATTCCAGCCTGGCCCGTTTTTCAGGGACCGGAACCTTCCTGGTATGCGATGGATCAGACGGGTCGTTGGTGACCATGTCCCTGTAAGTCTGAACCACTAGAGTCGTGGCCTCGAAGTGCAGATGCCGCAAGATTGCGGTTTGCCCCATGGTAGGAGCAGCTCCGTACACCTTCACACTGAATTCGTCAAACTGAGCCTCCGTAGGCGGCTGCTGAGGCGACCCTATCGCGAAAGCCAATGTCTTGAAGCACCTGATGCCTTGTGCCTCCAACTTGGTATGCAGAGTCGCATCCTTCGAAGCTTCAGCACATCTCTGCTTAAAGGCAGCCTCGCTTTCGATCACGGTCGACATGTTGGGAACCTACGCACCCTAGCAGCACAAACCTACAACGTGAGAAAACGCACTCAAGCACCATGCAAATCTCTCACATGTTTACATGCAACAATCTGCCATGGATCACATCTCGGGCCTCCGCGAGCGAACAAATCAAAGCCTACTCCACGGAGTGCGCACATGCGAGCAGAAAACATGCAACTGAAGACTCGCAAACAAGGCTCACTCTCGGTTATTAGCCGCCTCGCTCAAACGTTCTTGTTGCAAATCCTACACTTGCTGAAGTCCCACCGGAGGTCCTCTGCCCGTATCTTGACATGCAGAGATCCTATGGCCCTTCCGCAGGCAAAAACCTTAGTGTAGCCGGTAGGGGCAAAATGCACCACTCTCGACTTCTCGTGCCTCCACACATCATGACCCTCGGGAACATTCACTACCAGCTTCGAGAACGGTCCCTCGGCCTCCTCCGGGCAAGAGTCGCTGGAGGAAGAGTCCGTAGTGATATGCCCGGTGGCCTCAGCGTCGAGGGCTTCTTCATCGCCTGCAAGGTTATGAGCAGCATCATCCCCTTCGATAGGAGAGGGCGGGTCATGTTCATCCTTTATCACAACTACCTCTGACCGCTGCTGCGAGTCAGCGGCTTTGCCCACCAAGCGCCCGCTACGAGTCTCATCTGGAAGAAAAACTCGATCCCTTATCTCCTTGATCATCCGCTCCAAGATCATCAAAGGATGAGCTGCAGAATCACGGGAGTATGTCAGGGCCATGCGGTGCGGCGTCGTGTGATATCCCAACAGCTGCCTGTCGACAATACTGATTCCCCTCTTTGCCGCATAGCTCAACATGGTACACTTGCAGCTGTGCGATGATAGCTTTCTGTCAGCTTGCTTTGATCCAGAACCCGTTAGCAGATGTCTCAGCCACCTGCCCATCTCCTCAGTATCCAGCGGCCTGACACTAGCAGCACCAGACTTATCCGGCGCCGGCATGACAGGAAATTCCGGAGGATCTGGAATGTTGAGTTCCTCTCTAGCAAGCTTCCACAGCCTCGCCCAGTTGGAACCCGCAACTCCCAGGCCAGGAGCCACCATAGGAAGCAGATCATGCCGCATAACTCGGCTCCTCATATTCCTATGGTACGCCACGGGGCACTCCACATAGGCAAGATTCTTCTGGTTGTCATAATCATAAATAATTCCCTCTGCATGCATCAGGTCTGACCATCTTGACCGCGAATATACACACAGCAAAACTGCTCCAGCGAAAACGCGGTCCCACGGGTCCTGTGCGTTCTCCAGCCGGTCGTGCAGAAGGGAGAGCTCATCTACCGTCAGCGGCGAAGCCCTGTTCCTCGGCCTCACCTCGCCACGGCACGCATTGCCAAGGCATCGCCTGCTCTTGACACATAGGTCCAGCTCCTCTACCCCCAGGACGTATCTGCAGAAAACCACTGCTTCATACGTAGCCTTTCGCGAAGATAAGCTGGCACCCCCATCCCTTTCAAGACAGAGGAACATGTAAAGCAAAATCTCGTTTGCAGGGAAAACCAGCTTCTTCTGACGAAGGAAAGCTTCATACTTCAAGAGACTCCTTAACCTCTTGCGAAGTGTGCCCGGGGCCTTTGCACCCAGCACATCGTAAGTCATGGCCTTCCTTTCATCGTCAGTGGGAAGTTCACAAAGCTGATCCCGCACCTGCACACCTTCAGACCATCTGCCAATGAAAACAGCCCAAGCACCGACCGCTTCCAAAAGCTGTTCCTCGCGCTGCTGCTTCCATGAAGCAACCACTCTGTTGACAACGGCCATCTCGAAAATTCTAGTGACGACCCTTCCCGCCCTCTGCGGGTTCTTCGAAGGTTGCTCCAAGACGCCTTCTGGGACGCCAGGCTGCAGAGGCCTCTTGAGGCCAGTTCCATAAAACCCACGGAAGGAATCCTCTGACTGAGGAGTAAAAATACTTCCCCAGAAATCATTCTCCCAGACTTGCTTTACTTGAGGAACATCCAAAGTTTGGAAAGCTGCCGCCATCGACCTGTCCAAATTTCTAGCAGAAGCAGCAGAAGAGCCTGCCGCCGCAGATGACAAGCCCAAACCATGAGCCTCCGTCGGAAGGCCCTCTGAAACCTCTGAAGGCAGAGCAGCACCATCTTCCGACAAATCAACTTTATACCAGTCTCGTTCCGCAGCGGAATTCCCACAGGACCAAACATCTTCCTCGAAAACATCTAAGTTCGCAGAAAAAGCCCCATCAACTGAGTTTATCTCCAGATGCTCCCCGCTTGCCACACCTGCGGCCTGAGAGGCATCCTCAAGGAGATCGCCAGGCAAAGCATTGTCACCAAGCTGCCCCGAAGACCTTCCATCCACCCCTTTCCAAAAGAATGTCAAGGGTAGACCATCTTCGGCATCGGAAGGCTCGGCTTCCGACTGCATCAGCGGAGACCGAAGTAGCGAAGCCGAAGGCGACGCGCTTCGGCAGCCGCAAAATCAGAAGTAGCCAGCAGAATGACTCGGACAGCTCTGTTGACGCAGAAAAGCTCGTAAGAAAAGTCTAGGCCCAGGAAACGCAGTACCAAGCTATTCGTACGCGAAGCGCCCAAGCAAATTGACAAGGTCCAACGCACGAATCTCACTGCGCCAGCCCCGGACCTCTTCTTCCTCCTCGAGAAACAAGAGAAGAAGGCGCCGATGTGGCACCGGAGGCAGCTCGCGACGGCGCGCGGCCATCCCTAGCCCGACAAGTTTTCCCCGTGCCCACACTTGAGCCAAAATGGCTACGGATCCACACTTCATCTCACTGCCCGGAAAACTTGCAAACGTGATTCCTAATTTCAGTTTAAAACAAACATGAAATTTGTGCAAAACTGAATAAGGAGTTCATCCTTTCTGCTTCGGGAAGTTTAAAGGAGTAAACTCTTTCTTGCCTTAACCTCTTCTTAACCAGCCGCAGTGCAGAGTTCGAAAAATTGTGTATGAGTGTTGAACATGTTGATGCCGTCCGTATCTGCCGTATTGCTTTCAGCTTGTGGCTTCCATGCAAAAAAGTCAAAATTGTCCCGAAATTAAGATTTTGCGCAGCCAGCAACCACAATGCAGATTTTGAAAAGGTGTGTAAAGTATTTGACACGTTCAAGCCGTTTGCATCTGCCGTATTGTTCTCTGCTTAGTGGAAATCTGTTTGTTTTGTAATTGCACTTCCGCGCACTTAGATAAGAAAACTCCAACTTTTGTAAAATCCAGGTTCAAATCCAAGTTTCCAGGTTCCAACCTAGGTTCTAACCCGAGTTCCAACTCTGGTTTAAGTCCAGATTTAAACTCGGTTCCAACCCAGCAACAGGTTCCAACCCAGCTTAAACCTGACGTTCTACCCAGCTGAAAACTTGGTTCGAATCTGGTTCAAACCTAGGTTCAAACCGTTTAAACAACTCCATCTGTTCAAATCTGGATTTTAAAATCCAGGTTCCGGAATTCCAGGTTTAATCCAGGTTCCAAACCTGCTTTTCAAAGAAACAGTTTTAAAACCTAGGTTTTGGTGTAATTTCTCAGTTAAAGTTTGCGACTGTGCTGCAGACCAGCCAAGTTGCGTCCGTGCAACGTTTCTGCCTCTTGGCTGCCATTGCTGCGGGCCTGGTGCAGGTACGTTCTGCAACGCATGCTGTACGTTCGCTTTATGTACGGTTTCTAGTAGTCGTAGTAGTAGTAGCGGTAGTCGTAGAAGTAGTAGTAGTAGTAGTACAGAGGGGGGCCACTCAAGCGAAGCCAAATTGCTTGGATTGTTCGACCCCACATTTGGAGCCGCGTGTGCTGCAGTTGGTCCGCACCCAAAGTGGACGTCGGCGACACTGGTGGCCGAACAGGCGTTCCAGACACACAGCAGCAAGAACACTTCCACCTTTGAGCTGCAGGTAGACTTATAGGACAAGCAGGATCTGGTCTAAACAAGTCAAAGTCCATGTCTTTCTCAGGCACAGGTACCTTCTAGGAGAACCTTCAACTCCAATCTTAGAAGTCCGCTACCAAAAAAACAGAGTGTGCAGCACTCGATTTTTTTTCTTGAGCTGACAGCATACGGAAGGAAACGAGACAAAACGAGTGTGGTCAGTAATCTGACTTAAAAAGCACTTCTAACAGTTTGAGGCAGACTGAAAAACACCAAAAATCAAATGCCAGTTGACACAAAAAGCGTCCCACGGGTCTGTGTGTGGGGGGGGGAGCACGGGTCTGTGTTACGCGGGGATGCGGAATTGCTGAGCAACGCCTGTAGTTTGTGACAGCCGAATGCACCTCCTGCGCAAAGAGACACGCAACCATGAAGCAATAAAAAAGACTCCGATTACACGATGGAACTGACTCAAAGAGCAAAAAGGGAAATTGAAGTAGAGGTGCAACCTCCGACAGCGAAAAGTGCAGTTCGAACTGTTCTTTTTGAGGGAACGCAACAACCGGTCTGGCAGCAAATGCAAGGCAGAGGCAAGAAATTTGCAAATGGGTCTCTGCTAAAAGAGCAAAAAAAATCTGGCGAGAGCCAGGTGAGCCCATGTCGTGCATGAGGGAGTTTTGGAGTTAAGCACCGTGCACAAATTCCGAACCGTCAGCCACACCTCTCGATACCATAACTCTGCACAGCTCAAGAAGTCCTGTTCAGATCTGGTGGAGATACCTTCCAGAAAATTCCGCCGCTCTTGTATGATCTGTTCCGGCCGACCTTCTCGATACCATAACTCTGCATGGCTTGATCTGCTCTGTTCAGAAATGCAGAGTCACCTCTGCAACACTTTCCCTGTCTTTGTACGATCTCAAAGCTGCACAGTTATGAGGCTCTCGGGCGACCCCATTTTAAGGCCCGCAAAACACAAGCAATTCTGGCTTCGCCAGGTCGGCCCTCCACAGTTGCATTCCGCTGGCTGCAGCACTTTTAAGGGCGAGCACAAAGCTGCTTTGGACAAGTTCCGACCTTCCAAACGGTCCTCCACCAGACGCTCCCCAAAGTCAATACAATCAATGACATGCGCAGCTGACGAGATTCAGCCGCTGTGGGTGCAGGAATCAAACTTGCGACCCCAAAACTGGGGCCGTCTCGCGGCCCCAGAAAAGGAGCCGCGAAATGCAGCCAACCTCCTTTAACATATTTTGACTGGCAACTAGAGGACCCCAAAATCGGGGCCGCTTGGCGGCCCCTATTTTGGGGTCACGAATTCCTATTCTGGGGCCCAAACCCAAGCCCGTACGTTCCAAACTGCTACATCAAGGCGACCCGCCCACAGGCAGGCATCCAGTGTGGAAAAATCATTCTCCAAGAACAAGAATTTCCAACAGACAGCTTGCCAGTGGAAGTGATAGACATGAGAGAACAGAGGGGGGCCACTCAAGCGAAGCCAAATTGCTTGGATTGTTCGACCCCACATTTGGAGCCGCGTGTGCTGCAGTTGGTCCGCACCCAAAGTGGACGTCGGCGGCACTGGTGGCCGAACAGGCGTTCCAGACACAGCAGCAAGAACACTTCCACCTTTGAGCTGCAGGTGGACTTATAGGACAAGCAGGATCTGGTCTAAACAAGTCAAAGTCCATGTCTTTCTCAGGCACAGGTACCTTCTAGGAGAACCTTCAACTCCAATCTTAGAAGTCCGCTACCAAAAAAACAGAGTGTGCAGCACTCGATTTTTTTTCTTGAGCTGACAGCATACGGAAGGAAACGAGACAAAACGAGTGTGGTCAGTAATCTGACTTAAAAAGCACTTCTAACAGTTTGAGGCAGACTGAAAAACACCAAAAATCAAATGCCAGTTGACACAAACAGCGTCTGGAAGAATCCTGCTCGTCCACATGTTTCCAGAAATTCAGAAACCACCACGGGTCTGTGTGTGGGGGGAGGAGCACGGGTCTGTGTTACGCGGGGATGCGGAATTGCTGAGCAACGCCTGTAGTTTGTGACAGCCGAATGCACCTCCTGCGCAAAGAGACACGCAACCATGAAGCAATAAAAGACTCCGATTACACGATGGAACTGACTCAAAGAGCAAAAAGGGAAATTGAAGTAGAGGTGCAACCTCCGACAGCGAAAAGTGCAGTTCGAACTGTTCTTTTTGAGGGAACGCAACAACCGGTCTGGCAGCAAATGCAAGGCAGAGGCAAGAAATTTGCAAATGGGTCTCTGCTAAAAGAGCAAAAAAAATCTGGCGAGAGCCAGGTGAGCCCATGTCGTGCATGAGGGGGTTTTGGAGTTAAGCACCGTGCACAAATTCCGAACCGTCAGCCACACCTCTCGATACCATAACTCTGCACAGCTCAAGAAGTCCTGTTCAGATCTGGTGGAGATACCTTCCAGAAAATTCCGCCGCTCTTGTATGATCTGTTCCGGCCGACCTTCTCGATACCATAACTCTGCATGGCTTGATCTGCTCTGTTCAGAAATGCAGAGTCACCTCTGCAACAATTTCCCTGTCTTTGTACGATCTCAAAGCTGCACAGTTATGAGGCTGTCGGGCGACCCCATTTTAAGGCCCGCAAAACACAAGCAATTCTGGCTTCGCCAGGTCGGCCCTCCACAGTTGCATTCCGCTGGCTGCAGCACTTTTAAGGGCGAGCACAAAGCTGCTTTGGACAAGTTCCGACCTTCCAAACGGTCCTCCACCAGACGCTCCCCAAAGTCAATACAATCAATGACATGCGCAGCTGACGAGATTCAGCCGCTGTGGGTGCAGGAATCAAACTTGCGACCCCAAAACTGGGGCCGTCTCGCGGCCCCAGAAAAGGAGCCGCGAAATGCAGCCAACCTCCTTTAACATATTTTGACTGGCAACTAGAGGACCCCAAAATCGGGGCCGCTTGGCGGCCCCTATTTTGGGGTCACGAATTCCTATTCTGGGGCCCAAACCCAAGCCCGTACGTTCCAAACTGCTACATCAAGGCGACCCGCCCACAGGCAGGCATCCAGTGTGGAAAAATCATTCTCCAAGAACAAGAATTTCCAACAGACAGCTTGCCAGTGGAAGTGATAGACATGAGAGAACAGAGGGGGGCCACTCAAGCGAAGCCAAAATTGCTTGGATTGTTCGACCCCACATTTGGAGCCGCGTGTGCTGCAGTTGGTCCGCACCCAAAGTGGACGTCGGCGGCACTGGTGGCCGAACAGGCGTTCCAGACACAGCAGCAAGAACACTTCCACCTTTGAGCTGCAGGTGGACTTATAGGACAAGCAGGATCTGGTCTAAACAAGTCAAAGTCCATGTCTTTCTCAGGCACAGGTACCTTCTAGGAGAACCTTCAACTCCAATCTTAGAAGTCCGCTACCAAAAAAACAGAGTGTGCAGCACTCGATTTTTTTTCTTGAGCTGACAGCATACGGAAGGAAACGAGACAAAACGAGTGTGGTCAGTAATCTGACTTAAAAAGCACTTCTAACAGTTTGAGGCAGACTGAAAAACACCAAAAAT